GAATCCTTATTTTTTTTTTTCTAATTTTAAAATATGTCTAATATAAGAAAAAGACGATCTCGTCCCTATATAATAAATGTGTGCTTCATTATGCATAATATTTTTTTTGTAAATTTACATGCATCTTGAACCTCCTAACTCTCCATATTTCTTGGTAAATTTCTAATTTCCCTTCTCTTAAACATATCTTGCACTTTAGCGTAACTCCAAACTTTCCGTATGTCGACAACCTTTGTAGCTTTCTCTTCATTATATTGTGGCTTTCTCCTCTCTTATATATAATTTTTTTACATACATCTTGCAATATAGGTTAAGTCGGTACTCTCCAATTAAAATCTCCATCACTTTTATTACGCAAGAACAAACAATCTCCGATGAAACCCGTGCTCCTTGAATGGTCTATCATTTTTTTGATTATATGTTAAGTATACTAAGGGGCCGTTTACAAAACACTTACCTAGGTAAGTGCTTACCAAATCATATTACCTTACTGGATGGATATGATAAGGACCAAGAATCTTATCCGATAAGAGCGAGACAAGGACCCAAAGTCTTACCCAGTAAGTAAGGGCGACGACTCTTACCATGGTAAGTGATTACCGGGTAAATTGTTGCATATGATGCCGTTTTGGTGAACTAAAATCTTACATGATAAGTAAATAATAGTGTTAAATTTTACCGGTAAGCACTTATCGGATAAGTGTTTGGTAAACGGCCCCTAAGTGGATCTAATTTGACACCAACTTTCTGTTGGATCATGTTTCAAAAATACAAGAAGAATTATTTTAGTTCTCCTACGTATACCAATAATTTCAGTACTCGATAAGCAAATAATTTTTATGTAAACATCATTTGCTAGATTAGTTGAAGGTGTTAGCGTTATATTCTTACAAACCTCTAGCATTTGAATCTCTTTTTCAAATGTAAGTTATCAAGGTATTCCGCAAACACTACACATTAATAACATCAACATTGAATCATGAAAATACGTGATGAAGAAGACTACCCCAAATCTTTGATCATACAAATAGATGATAAAGAGTTTAAACTACTTTCAAAAGCTTGAAAGGATACGGCTTCCTAATAGCCTCTAACTCTTTTTGACATCTTTAGATCAAATTATTAAACATTTCAACAAAAAGGTGGTCCATGATATTCATCATCTATATAAATTTGTTTAATTTTCTCTCCTTTAAAGTCTCAAATGGGTTGACATTTTCATGAGTGGAAGGAGGCTTTTTATGTTTGATTTTGTCTTTGAATCCCGCTCATTTTAGAGTTTATGTAAGTATTATTATATTATAAATTTTTTATTAAGTTTGTTATTTATGTTCTTGATTTTCATTCAAATATTCTTGATGAGTTACTTTTGAGAACACGAACATTCGACAAAAAATAACTAAAAAACATTAATGTTATAATATTTTAAATGTCCTCTATTTAATTTGAGTTAACAAAAAAAGTTGGTTGTTATTTGGTAGGATAAATGAAAAGATATTTTACAAACTTGAAAAACAAAATTGGGATAAATGAAGTTTATGAACGAACAAATATATTCATTCCTTGCAACTAAATTTCTAACAATTATAACATAATGAATACTAATCATGAATGTAATTTTAGTAATATCGTTTATAATATGTCTAAAAAGTGTTAATTTAATTATTATAAACAAATAATGTTTATGAACAAGAACGTGAAAGCTTAAAAGCATCAAATTATATTAAGATTCCTATATGAACGGATAATAACACACAAATTAAAGGAATATGTTGATACTTAGCTAACCAATGTTGTTTATGGTTTCGGAAAAATAAAGGATTACCATAGATAATTTTCTAGAAAAAGTTGTATAAAATAGTACATGGAAAATGAATTCACATCTTTTGACAATTAGAACCGGGTACCCAACTCCGTTTGAATTTTCCAGTTCAAGATAAAAGCATTTGCAATAATCAAAAAGTTCACAAAAATTGAAAATTGCATTACCTGCATAGTTGAACCTTATTTAAGAAAACAATATAAATGATACTTGAATAAAAAAAGCTCTCTGTTTTTGCTAGAAAACATGTCAACCAAGAGAAATCAATACCATTAACCATATAACGTATTTTATTTGATTACGAACGCATATGTTTTTCATGAAGGTTGCTATATGTGTATGAATATATAATAAAAAGAGTTCTTATAATATAGTGTTTTTTTAATTTATGTAATTATTTTTTTCTATATTCAATTAACTAGCTTCATATGATATGATGGTTTATTATAGTTTTCTTTTATGTGCAACCCATTTCAAAACCCACTTAATAAATAGGTTGCAAAACAACCATTAAGTTATATTGAAAAGATTATTTTTTTGTTCTATCAGTATAATTCTTAATGCTGCATACACATTTGCAACTAACCATTTTTGTACAACTTTTATTTCAACACCGGAACATTACTAATGCGGGCCATGGTGTGGAGGACCATGCCCTATTCTTTGGGGAGACACGTGACCAGGCTAACAAAGGGTGTTTGTGCTTAAATGCTCATAACTTTTGTGCGAGACTCTATTTTAGGTTCATATTATATCGATTCGAAGCTTGAAACGAGGAACACGCTCTGGGAAAGTCTTCTTAGAATCATCAGAATCAAACTTCGTTCATTTATTGTACGTTGCATCAATTACTTTTTACAAGTACATTCAATAATTTATACTATATTTTATTAGTTATTAATGAATTATTAAGTTACACTTATCTCAAAGTAATTACATATTTGTAGTATTTCTCTAAAGGATGAAATCAACACTCAAAATCTTTAAAAAAAAAAAAAAAGTAAAAAGAAATCTATACTATATTATAAAACATTTGGCTAAAACTCTTAAAAACTCTTAAAACTTGTTCATCCCTAAACAATTTCATCCCTATCCGATTTCATCCCATAA